TCCTTGCTCAGTCCTGTCTGACTCTCTGTGACCCTATGGACTATAGCCCACCAGGCTCCTCTGTCCATGGAATCTTCCGGGTAAGAATACTGGAGTGGGTAGCCACTCCCTTCTCCAGGGGATCTTTCTGGCCCACGGATTGAACCTGGGTCTCCTGGATTGCAGGCAGATTCTTTACCATATGAGCCACCAGGGAAATTTGAATAGAACATTTCTTCATGGCAGAAAGTGGTCTGGGTCAGGGCTGGGCTCGAATTCCTTCTCCATCCTGAGCGTAGATGCTGAATGCACCCTGGCATTCTTACACTGAACCGAGTACTATAATGTCTGTCGTTCTGTTACAACTAAGAGTACAACTGAACTATATGTTTTCCTGATTGTGAATGATATACTTTTACTAATGAAACATAAGATCAAAGTAATAATTTTAGCAGCCATTTTGTATTCCTCATTTTTAATTCAGAACCCATAAGACATTTATGAGCAGTCTCTGCCCGGGTGATATGAGAGAGCAGTGTTTCTTTTTTTTTTTCCTGTAGTGTAGTTTGTCTACTTCTATTTTTAGACCCAAGCTTCATATTTAGCATTTACCTCTGGAGAATGTAATTTTGTTAGATTTCAACGAATTGGAATTTCAAATGTATTGGGATTTTTTTTCAGTTTTGCTTCAAACGTTTCATAATCATTGTTATCCTTCCAAGCTTCAGTTCACCCCCCAGATTTGACTGGAATGCCAGCAACATTGGCATCCAAGTTATTGATAAGAAAGATGAACAGGATGGGACTTTGGATGGAGCCCAATGGCATAACATTAGAGGCTGCAGTCTAAATTGACATAGATATAATTAAGCAGAGGAAAACTTTGAGTTGTTCAACCCACTTACTTTCATTATGTCTAGCCTATAATTCTTTATTTTTACACTGGAATTTTATGAAAAACCTGGTCAGAGTACCTTGCAGATTTCTGAATTTTATGACCCTTCCAGGCTCTTTTTGTTATAAATTAAAAAAAAAAAATTGAAGTATAGTTGATTTACAGTGTTGTGTTAGTTTCAGGTATATAGCAAAGTGATTTAGTTACACATATATATTCTTTTTCAAGTTCTTTACCATTTTAGGTAATTACAAGATAATGAATATAGTTCCCTGTGCTATGTAGCAGGTCCTTATTGTTTACTTATTTTTTATAGTGTGTGTATGTTAATCCCCAACTCCTAATTTATCCCTCTTTCCCCTCCTTTCCTATTTGGTAAGTTTCGTAACTGTCTCTTGATTGTCAGTTTCTGTGAGGATGGCGAAGGGGAATGAGCATTGTCTGGTATTAATTATTCTTAGTGAATCCACGCACATTCCAAGTAATCCTCACTGTTCCCTGTCCCCCCACCCCCCCACCCCATGTTACTAATGGCATCTGAAGAATTTCAGTTGTGAGATTCGCAGATGCTTACTCAGTTATCATTGGCAGAACCTCTGTTTTCCTTCCCTTTCATTCGCTGCTATGTTTCCTCTTCTCCAATGTTCTTCAGAGTTTGCCAGCGATGTTTTTGCCACCTCCCATCTCATGCCGTCAGTGGCATGGAGTTTAATTCATCAGGGCCAGGAAGCTCAGACTCACTCGGAGAAGGGGCAGGCAGCCTGACAATTGCTGCACTTGTTTTGGACCTCAGTTCCCTCTGACCAGTGTCCCCTGTACTCTTTATGGAAAGCATCTCATCCCTCTTGACAGAACACGGACGCAGAGCGGGGGTTGGGTAATTCCGCCTGCTGTCACCGTGAGCATTCAGCACGCCCTCTGTGCAGGAGACCGATGTCTTGGTGGTGTTCTCCTTGCCCTGAGTGTACCAGAAATAGCCCTTTTGTTGTGCTGCACATTTTCTGCTGGGCTCAGCTCATTCCAGCCTTTTGCCTTCCTGACACTCATATCAGAGGCTGGAAGATTTTTCATTTTTCGAGGCATTCTCCAAAGCAGATGACTTGAAAGGAGCCAGCTGGATAGAAAGCTATTATATTGAGAATGGCAGTTGGTGCATATCTTTGTCTCCACCTTCAATTTGAATAATGAGCATTAATTTCTTGGACCACTTTGGATATTAGTGGAGAATCAGTTTCTCTAAACTTTCTCTCCCTTCGCTCTCTTTTTTCCCATCTCGTTAAATCACTCAGACAGTAAAAAGAATCTGCCTGCAGTACAGGAAACCCGGGTTCGATCCCTGGGTGGGGAAGATCCCCTGGAGAAGGAAATGGTAACCCACACCAGTGTTCTTGCCTGGAGAATTCTATGGACAGAGGAACCTAGTGGGCTACAGTCCATGACGTCACAGATTCAGACATGACTGAGCAATTCACAGTTTCACTTTCAAATCATTTTATTGAGACCCTTTTCTGGTGGGTGTAGTATACTCTGGGGAGTGGTTTTCAGGTGGCTGTCAATTCCCATGAGACACGGGCTTTTCTTTATCGGCAGGCTTCCAACACCTTTGATGCGCCGCCACCACGGCAAGTCAGCCGTGAGGTGCCCGCGGAGTTTAAGTCCTAGAGTTCGTGGTTAGGAGACGGACTCTGGAGTCAGACCCTGGCTGGTTCAAATCCCCTTCCCTAATAGTCTTTATGATCCTGGTCAAATGATTAACCTTGTTGCATTTGAATTTCCTCTAAGGAGGTCCCTACCTCAGAAGACTGTTGTGAGATTCAAATAGTTCATGTATAGAACAAGTTTCCAGCACTACATTTGGCACATGAAAAAGAATTCAAAGTCGACTCTGGCCCCATGGAGTGTGGCCTGCCAGGCTCCTCTGTCTATGGGATTTCCCAGGCAAGAATATTGCAGTGGGTTGTCATTCCCTTCTCCAGGGAATCTTCCTGACACAGCGATCGAACCCAGGTCTCCCCTGTATTCCAGGCAGATTCTTTGCTGAGCTGCCAGGGAAACCCATAGTTAAGGCTAAATAGAAGCTCTCTAACGGCAGCAGTTAGGATTTGCATACTGAATCTTGCAAGACTAAAAGTCTCCAAATAATTGAAATTAGAGGGCAGTCAGGTGGCATGATCTTGAATTCTAATGCCCAGAGAGGGACACATGAAATCAGTACCTGGTATTTTGTTATGTCCATCAACGTATCATCAGCCAAAATAAGAGAAAAGAAAGGAGATGCAGAGCTGGCTTGGCCACTTTGAGGAAGGACAAACTATCCTTTGAGATGCGTTGAGCCCGCGTCCTGCTTCCTTATCTGGCTGACTGTGTACACAGAAGGTTACTTCAGTTCAAGATACCGAGCCCCACTTCTCCTCATCCCCTGTTCTTAAGATGGGAAAGTACTTCTTTATGGTTTGCTGCTGTTCTTTTCTTTCCCAAATGCCCTGGGACCATAGGCCCTTGGGGACTTGCTCTTGGGTTCAAGCCTGGCTGATGCTGTGAAGCTCCAAGTTCAGTGATCTGTGGATGGAAAGGTGGAGAGGAAAATTAGAAAAAGGAAAAGAGAAAAGAAACACTTTGGTATGGTTGGACGTCTGCCTAACGAGAGAGTCCTGTGTGTTGTCTAAAGTTTGTTACCATCTGAAAACAGGTTTGCTTTGTAAACACTTGGCTTCCTCTCAGACTACTGGAAATCTCTTGTCTGTAATAAATGCTCTTCTCCACCCACCCAGTGGAAGGATGCACTGACTTGAGCTCTGATGGGCTTCTTGGCACCTCAGGGCCTTTGCTCCTGCTGTGCCCTCTGTTTAGAAGCTCTTCTTTGCCTGTCCCCAAGTAGATGCCTCATCTTTCAGGCTCTTAAGTCAGAATGACATTTCCTGGCTCTCCTTGCTGACTTATCTGCCCTCTCCCCTCTCCTCCTCATCCTTTCTGCTGTCATTTCTGTCAGTATCTAAGATACTCAAGTTTCAGATGGCTACTATCTGAATACAAGGTGGAGGAGAGCACAGATCTCACCTGGCCTGTTTATTGCTAGGTGTCCACGTCTGGAGACAGTGCCTAGCAAGTAGCTGGGGCTCAAAAATAGTTGGTGAGTGAATGGGTTTAAATTTTCGTGCAGACATAGGTGAGTGAGATTAAAAGGTGCAAACTTTCAGTTACAAAATAGATGTCACCGGTATGAAATGTACAGTGTGGGGAATACAGTCAATAACTAAAAAATACTTTTGTATGGTGATGTACTATAGCTAGACTTGTGATTATTTAAAATTGTGTGTTGTCGTTCAGTCACTCGGTTTAGCCCATGTGACCTCATGGGCTGCAGCATGCCAGTTTTCCCCGTCCTTCACCATCTCCCGGAGTTTGCTCAAATTCATGTCCGTTGAGTTGGTGATGCTATCTAACCATCTCATCCTCTGCCGCTCCCTCCTCCTTCTGCCTTCAATCTTTCCAAGCATCAAGGTCTATCAGAGTACCATGTTGTATACCAGAAACTAACATAGTGTTGTAAGTTAGTTGTAATTCAGAAATGTACAAACTCAGAGCAAAAGAGGACAGGTTTGTGGTTACCAGAGGCAGGGATTAGAGAGGAGTGGGGGGGGGTTGGAGGGAGGTAGCCAAAAGGTACAGACTTCTAGTTGTAAGATAAATAAGTACTAGGGACATATAATCCCATGGACAGAGGAGCCTGGTAGGCTACAGTCCATGGGGTTGCAAAGAGTCATACACAACTGAGCGACTTCACTTTCACTTTCATCTTCAGGGATGTAATGTACAACATGATACACAGACTTTTCACTGCTGTATGTTTTATCTGAAAGTTGTTAACAGAGTAAAGTTTTAATAGCTCTCATCTCAGGAAAATATATCAATTTTTTTTTCTCTCTGTAATGTTGTATCTATATGAGATGGTATATGTTCACTAAACTTAACTGTTCTCACCATTTCATGATGTCTGTAAGTCAGAACATTGTGATGTAAACTACATGTGTGTGGTGTCGTATGTCAATTCTATCTCAATAAAACTGGAGAAAAAAAAAGTTAATGCGGAGGAAGCTACTCCAGGAGAAAAAAGCTGACATCCCACCTTCACTCCGGGTAGCAGGTCGCTCTGGAATCTTATGTCCGAACACTCAGCTCCCGCAAGTTGCAAAGGACCGTCTGAGCAGGTGGAGAGGTGGATCAGTGTGGAGATGCGGACACGAGGTACCAGCAAGAACGAGTAGCTCATGCTCTGTCCCTGGCATTCGCTCAGCATCTTTTCCACCTTTGTCGTGGGGCCTTCTCTGATGTGATGATGTATAAGCAGAAGTAGCCCAGGAGAACTGGGGCATGGATGCCTCCGATGGAAAGCTGAAGTGTCAATGCCCCCACCCTCTGTGCTTGGGTGAATGATTCTGGGAGTGATTCCCTTGGCTTCTTGGGAGGCCCTGGGGAATCTAGCTGCCCTTACTGCTTCAGTAACCCCAGTCACGTGCTCTCACCTTATGTCCTCGTCTCAGGCTCTGCTTTGGAAAGAACCCACCCGAAGACCCCATTCACACTGATAGCTTCGCTCCCTTGTTGCCTGCCCTCTGTCAGAGCCTGCACAGATATTTACAACCTTTTCTGAAAGTCTCGATGAATGTTTGCCTGGGAATGTGTTTTATCTCTTTCAGGCTGACAAGGGTCTCTTGGACTTCTGAGACTTGTTATCCTAGAAACCTAGAAGCTTGGTCTCCTTTTTCTTATAGTTGTTCACTCTGCTAGCCCCTCAACTCTCCCAGTTCTTTTCCTGAAGACAGTCATGAGATCCAGCTCACTGTTGCTTTCCCATGTGTATTTATAGCACTGGCTTTTAGATGGTGGGCCAACTTTTGAGTTGCTTGCTTTGAAATAGACTTTCTGAAGGACTTCTGGAAATAATGAGGCCATTTCTACACTGGCAAGTTGGAATATATTACAGATAGTGGTTGCAAGAAGTACTTGAAATGATGGTGCTGTCTATACAGGGCAAATCATTTTTTTTTTTAACCTTCCCCAGATTATTCTGCAACTGTTACCTGGTACTTTTGTGACTGGTTTATGTCCTATATGGAAGTCATTGCATCATCTGTCAGTTTTCTTCCAGACTTCTGAGGCAGTACCGGAAGAACTGATGGGTGAAAGGTTTGGCTTATGTAAGGTGGCAGTGGGGAAAAGTGACAAGGCAACTGTGATACTGCACATTGAACTTAGAGTTTTGCAGCTCCTACGATGGAGAGCCTGTAAGCTCTTCTTTGCCGTGGGTTCCCTGGGAGGCAAAGAAGAGGTTAAGCCAGGGGATCCTGTCTCAAAACAATGTCTTAAAACACAGAAAACAAAGTTCATAGGATCACAGAAGAAGTCAGTTCTACAGAAATGTAGTGATCGACACATTAAAATTGTTCATGACAGAGAGCAGGCATGCTTCTGTAAGAATGCATGCAACAGCATGATCTCCAGGCAGGTCCATTAACCCTAGAATTATGGGGTGTGATGGACACGTTTTGAGGTATTTGCAACAGACCGTCATGTGACTTGAAAATACCTGTGCTTTCTGCTTGTGATCAAGTCCTAGGAACTGCTAAATACCCCTCTGATTTGTTGCAGACCTTTATAATTGAAGGGAATAAGGAGGCTCAGGTAGGAGTCGGTAAAAATGAAGATGTCATTTCCCTCCTCATCCCAGGTCATAGACCCCAAATTCTCTCCAAGGACCCGTGATTCAAAAGCCCTGCTCTCCGGACGGCAGGCACCTTATGGCCTGTGCCAAAGCTCTTGTTTGCCAGGTGAGTGGTGGTCTTTTGCTTTAGCATCTGCCTTGTGTGTTGGCTGAAGGAAGACATCGCCCAGCACCGTGCCTGCTGCTGTTACAGGTCAGGTGAATATTAAGGACGAGAGTGATGATGCTGGCTTCTTATCTCTCAGGATTCTGGTCTCTGCCTTTTTTTTTTTTTTGGTTCCTTTCATCTATTATAGAAATGGCCATTGATTGGGAGAACCAATGGTGTCTGAAATTACTTATTAGATGGAAAATACTTTAGAAAGGGATTTTTACTAACTTGGTTTGTCAGGTTTTCCCTGCTGATTGCTACTGTGCAGAATGTCGTAGAGTGAAGAGGCCAGCCTGCCTCTTGTTTTCCTTCCCCTCACCCCCTTTTTATGGCTGCACTACACAATTTGTGGGATCCTAGTTCCCCGACCAGGGATCGAACCCATAATCCCTACAGTGGAAGTACCAAGTCCCAACCACTGGACCTCTGGGGAATCCTCTACTTTTTGTTTTGGCGTTGTGTTTTTGTATCCAATAAACTTCTCTTTATTGTTGTTTAGTTGCTAAATTGTAGCCTGCCAGGCTCCTCTGTCCATGGGATTTCCCAAGCAAGAATACTTGAGTGGGTTGCCATTTCCTTCTTCAGGGGATCTTCTCGACCCTGGGATTGAACCTGTGCCTCCTGCATTGCAGGTGGATTCTTTACTGTTGAGCCACGAGGGAAGCCCAAGCTTCTCATACCCATATATAAAAATATAAAGAACAAGGGAAGAGTATTACAAGAGAAAGCCCCAAAGACAAGATTATAACTGGAATGTGCAGACACAAAGTGAGCTGTATGGGTATTGACCCAAAGAAATGATGGTGGGGGTAAAAGGGAGGGAGGGGTGAATGCCTGGTTTTAGACATTGGAAAGGTGTGCCTCACTTGAATCCCCCAGTAACCTGAGAAGTTATTTTTTAAATCCATATTCAAGATGAAGAACCTGAGGTTAGGAAAGGTTGAATGATTTGCCCATTGAAAGGCTATGAAGGGGTGCAGATGGGAACTCAAGGTTTGGGGTGGTGAGACATCTGTCCACCTTCCAGTGGGTCCCCCTGCTTTTAGTAGAGCGGCTGAAGTGAGCTTTTGCAGTTAGTTTCAGATTTTACATATGAAGAACACGGTTCCTGGACCTTCCTTGGCAGTCTAGTGGTTAAAGAGTTCGCCTTCCAACCCAGAGGATGTAAGTTCGATCCCTGGTTGGGGAGCTAAGATCCCACATGTCTCCTGGCCAAACAAACAAAACATGAAACAGAAGCAGTATTGTAACAAATTCAATAAAGACTCTAAAAAAAAATCAAAATCTTAAAAAAAGAAAAACATTGCTCCTTCAGGAACCCAGTCCCATCACATGACACTTTGTGCAGTAGTGGGAATGTTCTGTAAATTTGACTTCACTTAAGTTCATTTAAACTTTAGTGACCGCACATGGCTAGCAGTTACCAAATGGACAGCACAGACAGAGTCGCTCTTGCGTTAGAAGGCTTGGGTGGGGAGCCCAGCTCTATCACTGATTAGGTTTGCCACCTAGACAAGATAATTCCTAGAGGTTCAGTTTCCCTATCAATGAAGTGGGATAGTTCTCTTTGGATTCAATTAAAAATTCATTCCAGCAAGGTCAAACAAAGATGAAAACTGTTATTGTTTTTTGAAAAGTTATAGCCATTCTTGAGAAACCCAGGAGAAGGGATGAAGGCAAGCCAAGGAAAGGCTAAAAACAGAATGACTTTCAGGGTCATGATCACGCTCTCCTGGGTCATGTCTACTCTTGGCACATCACGGGCTTTCTTTGTCCCCGCTGTACGTGATGAGGGAAGCCTGACCACTCCCAACCCCCAAATGTGTGTCTCCCTCCTTTAGCAGCCTGTTCTAGAATGATCAGCTGTCTCTCGGTCTCCATTCTAAGTTCCAGGACAGGAAAGTTCTCTCGGCTCACGTTAGAATTCTGTTGTTTCTGCTCCCTTGGCCCCAGTTACCAAAAATACTTTGACATTGACTATAATTGATGGGTTTTCAGGGAACTCTGTCATTTTAATTAAAGGATGAAGGTCCTATAGGTCACAAAGATAGATCTGCAGCTTTGTGCATTTTTATGTTAAGCAGCAGATGATGGTAATCTTTATTTTCACCCACATTTCTCCCTTCTGAGGGTGAAGAGTGCATTTGATACCTTAAGGGCCTAAGCTCGTCCCTGGAAAGAGAAATCATTCTTGTTCACCGCCTGTGTTTTTCTGCTTTAAAAGTCTGCTAACGTGTGTGTTGTGTCTCTTGTGATTGTAATTATGGGATCATGACCTAATATTTCATTATATGAGTGTCCTTGCTGCCAGAATGTTTCCCCGATGCCCAAATGAAGCATGATCAGTGAATTCTTACGTGGAAATGTGAATGCAACATAGAAATGTCTTAGAACTCAGGTTCTGATGGCGCATCACATCTGGCTCCATGTGGGCTGTGTCTTTTTTTAGAGCTAGAATAAGAGGAATGGCCTCACAGACCTTTTCTAAGTCAGTGATGTCAAACCATAGGAGGAGCTGAAGACAGCTGCTGTGAAAACGAAAAGATTTTTCCAGATGAGGAAAGCAAATAATCCAGACTCTATTGTCTGTAGATAACAACTTGTGATGCCACCTAGAAGCCTGAATTTTGCTTTTAAATTTCATAATAGATTTTATTTAACCCACCATATCTAACATACTATCAATTCAACAAGTAATGGATACTAAAAGTTACTAATGAGGGGCTTCTTTTTTGGTTTCAAATGTTTATGATTCTGTGTGGTTTTTTGTACTTGAAGTGCACATTAAGTCAGATGGTAAATTTTCCCTGGAAATGTTTGCTAGGCATTTCATTTATTCCGTAGTGTTTACATAAGAAAAAGTGGATACGTGACTGAAATTATGGGACCTTCCTCCAATATGGCCAGTTGTTAGGAGGACTCTTTCTTAATAGCTCCGGTATTGAAATGGGAGACACTCTGGGTTGGACTTTCTGTACCGTGAAAATTCCAGTCTTGAAAGCCTTGGCTAACTACTTTCCACTCCCAGCCCTGTCTCTGGCGTTCCCAGACCTTTTCCTATTCTACCTTCCCTTTTCCTCCCATACGGGGACTCTGCCTGTTTCGTTTGGAACCCTGGGCCCACTGCTTACTTGCCTTGTGCTTGTGGGTAGCTAGAATTACTTTCATTCTCCCATGTTGGAGATTTAAAACAAAATGAAGTAAAACTGCCCCGTGGGTTGTTCTGAGGGTTCTGTGAAATGAGAAGGGATGGTGTCTATTCTATTGTTAGCCTTGGTGTACCCAGCGCTCAGTTCTTATCTCTATGTCAGATTCCTTGATTCTCTTCTTTAGACTTAAGATATCAAATAGATAAGACTTTCTAGTGTTTTATAGGTCCTGTGAACACTTTTCTGGA